TCTCCTTTAGTCCCCTGCCACACTCTTGCTCAAACTCTGCCCTCATCTCCACGGATCATTATAAATCGGTGCTTCCCTTCAGCTCTCAACCTCTCACCGACTCACCATGCCGTCTCTCGGTCGGTCTCTCCAGCCAGTCTCTGAGTTTCCTCTCCTCTAATCCTCTACCACACTCTTGCTCAAACTATGCCCTCATCTCCACGGACCTTCACAGTGATTCCCTTCAGTTCTCAACCTCGCCGTCACCACAACCCCTGGCCCCAACTGCCCTGCAACGCTCGCCGCTCACCTCCAGCTGAGCTCCAAGGCTGCAGCTGGGTCATCTCATCCCACCTCTCACCGTGGCATCGTGTTGTCAGCCCATCACTGCAAGTCAACAACGCTCCTCACTCACCACCGCTCACCTCCAGCTTGTTTTAAAAGAGTGATCTTGATCATCTTTGTTTGCTATATAGGATTCTGTAAAATTGCTATTTTCTTTTGGAATTTTGATTAACAAGCAGTGAATGGTGGGGACTCCGAATACTCACGGGAACCTATTATTCCCCGTGGGGATAGGGACGGAGGCAATTTTTGACCCTCCGCTAAAATTCCCCACGAGGATCCCCGTACTCACCATTGACGGGGATGGGGATGGGGATGGGGATGGGGAGGGGGTCCCCGCCCCCCTGGGGACCCGTTGCCATCCTTAAATGAGAACTTCTAACTTTTCTCAATCCTTCCTCAACGTGGGCAAGGTTTTCGTTTGTCATGGCCATCCGTTGCTTAAGGGAGTTCAGCTCGTTCAAAGCATTATCCCTATCAGCTTTCAACTTCTTAGTGCGATCCTCAACACGGGCAACCTCATCCATAGCAGCCTGAATCCTGCTTTCCTTTTTGGCCTGAGCCTTCCCTAACTCCTCCTTCAGCTCCTTGACTTTGTTGGCCAACTCGTCAGCTCGGCTTTCAACTGACGCAACCTTATTGGCCATCTCTGAGCTTTACAAGTGGTTTACGTCGTCCTCTAGGCTTGCCTTCTCAGATGTCAACCGCTTGTAGTTTTCATTGAGCTCACGGTTGCTCACGGTTTTGCCCGCATGCTCCCTGCTTACTCTCAAACAGGGCAATCGCATGGCTGAATGCCTACCACAATTTTTCTACAGTTAGTGTCTAACATAAAATTAAGACAATAGATAACACGAGCATTCGATGAAGATACTTACATCCATTAACTTCAGTATAGCAGCATGACTCTCATGCTGCTAAATGTAACCTTTTGCGTGTTGATGGTCCGCAGGTGGAACAAAACTTTGCATACCTTACACCATGGCAGCCTGGCAGTCAGTTTTCATATAACTGAAGCCCTCAAGGTATGCAATTCTAGGGCCCAAAGCAAATGTGGATGCTGGCAGTGTCTCAGCTACGTCACGTGCCTAGGCAGTAGGCACATTGGATGAATGTACCGCACCAGACTGAGTCCCAAAGCTTAATCTATGTCGAATCAATGGCACATCATCCTTAGCATCAAAGTCTTCACGAGCACGCCTACTTGAGTCAGTAGAGATAGTTTCAACTATACGTTCGATGAAACTGTGAGGTCGAGCTGGAACCTCGTTCTCTATGGGACAAGCTACAAGGTGGCGTTACTGGTGGTAGCTCATCAAAGCACGTCTGCCTATGCGAACTGGACCTAGCACCATGATTTTGAAAGCGTTGAGCTTGTTCACGTTGCCTCTCCAACATGCTACTCATTTCTCTTGCACAAACAAATGTAATAAGACTCAGCTCCATTAACAATTACAATTTACAACAAGAATGTACCTTCATTGTATAGGTTTGCGACATCCACAAACCCATACACAACGAGCGCCTCAAGGGTAACCAGGGCCTCTAAGTCAACTAACCCCTCCGCCTTTACATAGTTCGGTAACTTATCCTTGAGTGCTAGGTCGTCTAGCGTTAGTGAGGGATAGTTCATATATGTATGACCTGAGCGCCATCCAAAAAGGCGAGCAGTCAGATCGTTATTGATCCTTTATGTTCGTGTATCCCAGACAAAAACAAATCACCTCTTCCATCTGGCAACCTTATTCCTTACATTTGTAAAAATCATCATTTTTTCTCTCCTAGAAATATAGTACCACCTCGTTTGAGTAGTACTCAGTCGGCACAAAAAGAACGATCTGAACACTATCGCTTTTGTAGGTATCTCCAACCTCACACATAACAACATAAATCCTATAATAAACTTTATGCTGTTAGGGGTCAACTGTGTTAGCGCCAGCTCGTACTCTGCCAGAAAGTCAAAAATCAACCTAAGCAAAGGAAAGTGCAAATCGGCATCAAAGTGGTCCACATACATAGGTATCCACCTCGATCTGTGACACTATGCAGGCCCTTTCGTTTTTGGTGCCAGCTTGGATCAAAATTGTTTTGGGGATGTGATATTGCCTCATTATCTCCTCTAATTTTTTATACCCTTTTATAGAGGCGGCGCCATTTGCTACCTCATGATGAAGGTCCGCCCTGAACCTAAATCCAGTAGCCAAAGTTTGTGGCGCCTTGCGAATGTTGCGAATGTTGCGAATGTTGCTCAGTCTACCACTTATGGTCTTACCCTCCCAACCTGCAACCACGAGCACATCCACATCCACATCCACATCCACATTTTCTAGTGAGGGACTACTTACGCCTTCCCCCACACCTTTTCCAACACTGGGAGTCTGTTCTAATGACGAGCCTTTAGACAACGAAGAATGATGACCACTGGAGTCACCGCGTGCACCCGAACTGGTACTGCTCTCAGGTGTAATGGTTTCTGACAAATCTTGCAGTTTCGGCAATACTATCATGGCAATCGGCTCCACTGAGATGACGCCCTCTTCTTCTTCCCTCCCCTAGTTACCCTGAGGATCCCTAAGTTCTTTAAAAGAGTCCGTTTTTACCTAAATCTGATGAATGTAATGTTCTTTCGTGTCTGTGGTTTCTGAACGTAACTTCAAAAGCTTTAAACACTTATGTTGTAAAATGCCAGAGAATAGGGCGAAAAGGAAATACCAAAAATGATTTTACGAGCATTTCTCTTTCTTTTGGCCAAACAAATTATGTAGCCTTAATTGTCGTACGCGTGTTTCTGACGTGCCACTCCAAACCCCACACGTGGTAGCTATTCACGGCTTAGTGTGTAACGTCCGCCAACTTTAGCTATCATGTCCCTTTAAATGTTAAGCCATCATTTATTACAGGGAAGGCAGAGAGATATTCACTAGCAGAAGAACATTAACCGTATCTGCTCAGAGATTTGTCCATTTTAAATTTTGAAAAATGCCAAGGTTGAGATCATCATGCGTCTGCTCGTTTTCACATTAATGTAGATGAGCTCGTTACCTACTACTTCATATGTGACACACGCTTCACTAGGAAACTCTATCCTCTCCTAGACCTACTCCACTTAGAAGTATGAAAATTTATCATATGAGCTGGCCTATTACAAGCCCATTTGAGCTCGCCAATGTGATGAGTTCACACAAGTAAAATGGTTGTAGCGTTAGGTCACTTGTTCACAGATACACGCATGAGCTTGCCATCTCCATTTATACCTGATCTAGACTCAGGTGAATGAGGTCGTTTTAGTTTCGTTACGTCACTTGTTCACAGACAGGCACATGAGCTCACCATATCTATGGATACCCGATCTAGACTCAGGTGGATGAGGTCATTATAATTTCAGGTTGTCCAGATATAACCTTTCCCCTAAAAGGTTTCTCCACCTAGGGTTCAGTCTGGTCGCATCAGGGTTTACTCAAGTCAAGCCATCGCACTTGGATGTGCACCTTGTACTTTATCTTTTAGCTCGGACGTTAACCAGGTCATACACAAAATCAAAGGATCATACGCCCCATTCTCAAGGCTAAATCCTGGGCTGCAAATGCAATTACTTTGGTTCATCAACTGAACACTGGGGGGGAATAATGTTGAGAATAGGCCCAACATTCAGCCTCAGCCATGTATAATAGGCCCAATCACTTATACCAGGGCCCCAAAATGAGGATGCGTCCATACAATAGTCAAGACATAGTCCAGACACACCCACGTGGGTGCTTATACGTGGACCAATCGAATGCCTACATGTATGAACCCATGTCAACACTGGAAGGCTATAAATACCCCCACCTACCTCCATTCAAGGTATTAACTCCACTACGCTTCTCTCTCTGCAATTACTCTTGAGAGTTTCTCTATTTTGAATATTGAGTATTGCTGACTTGAGCGTCGGAGTGTTTTCCCCGAGGAAACATCGGAGTGTTTTCCCCGAGGAAACATCGGAGTGTTTTCCCCGAGGAAACATCCTCGAGATTTTCAAGTGTTGAAGTAGTTGAAGATTTCTATAGTATAGGTTTGTAAAGTTGCCCAAACAAATATTAAGTACAACTAATTACAACTTCTATATAACCTGTACCCAAAAATTTTCAGCCCTAGTTACTAGTCACTGTCATCCGATCTGGATATTGGATGGCCTAACCAATATATCAATATATATATATATATATATATATATATCTTAAGCTGCCTCAATTGGGTCAAATAAAGGAGGGGTGAAGCTTATAGGCTTTGAGTAAAAGCCCAAAATTAAAGTCAGGCCCATTTTTAATCTTTCCCAGTCATATTTACAATTGTGCCCCTTCCTTCTTCCCCATGTTTCTTCTGCGCTGTACTAGCTCTGTTTTCCAGATTTAGAACATGAGCAGACCTATTTTTTTTTGCGATGAATCACACTAAACAAAGCAGTTAAACATTTTTTTTTTTTAATTTCAGGGGGCGCTTCTGGGCATGTCTGACCAAGTTTCCGAATTTTTTGAGTTGACTGGAGTCCATGAGAAGATGAAGAAGAAAAACTAGATCCATTTCTCTTTTCTTCCATCATTCCATATACAATTATGACTGTTCTTGAGCGAATGATGAAAACAGTAAGTACTCTAACATCCAAATTAAACTCAAACACAATGACAGTAAGTTTATCAAACAATTCAAAGTCGAAACCCATGAAAGTAGAACAACAACAATGAGCAGAAGTACCCTTGTTGTACTCTAATTATAATAAAATTTTTATTTTACTGATAAAAAAAAATGAAGTACAACAACAAACGCCAACAATACATATAACTAGAAAGCTTAGAAAGCAATTACAAATTTTGGTTCAAAACATCATCCATATAAACATAGTACTTAGAATACGTCAGTCCATACCTTCCGACCAAGCAGAGTAATTCTTCTTCTTGCTCCAATCCTGTAACGTACCGGGTAGCCTTCCAGACGCCGAAATATGATTCTGTTATCAACACTCAGTCCTTTCTCACGGACGCAGTGGCACTACCTTGATTTCAGGACAGGCCGCGGGTTATGGTTCGCTCGGATAGTATCCGAAGGTCCACTTTCTTCCACCTGCATCTGACACCGTTATATTTATGGAGTGTCCTCCTTGAACCTGTGGCATGTTGTTCATAAAAGGAATTGGGATTTACCAACATGGAACCAATGTCTGTTCTCGTCAATTCTTTCACAAACCTTGCTATTCTTCTATTAATTGCTTGATGAACCTTGCAGAGTGGAAACTCTCTTTTCTTTCACCGAGGCTGAGGTTTCAGTTTCCACCACAAAACAAAGTTATACTCATAACATCAATAATGTTGTGAGTTTTCCAGTGCAATACATCCCAGACGTTATCATAAATTCCTGCCATCACCAGCCGTTGAATGCAGATTATGCTTGTGGGGATTAATAAGCTTTAATGATCTGTTAAGTTCCTATTGATTTAGAGAAGGGATAGCAAGGTCTCACGCACCACTGAATATTTTCATTGTCGCACAGCACCTTGGACTTTCTAATGATGAAAAGGACAAGGGTGAACAGGAAGAGAGATTAACAAAAGGGAGATCTTGCCAATTAAAAGATCAAATATTTTCATTGCCATCCCTTTTTATTTAGGATCCTTTTATTGGCGTCCCTTTTTATTAGAGAAAATTTAAAATTTTGTTTAAAAAAACTTTCAAAAATGGCTTTTAAATGTGTTTTAAACAAATTTTAAAAAATTAGGTCTGTAATTTTTTCAAATTTTAATTAAAAATTAACTTAAAATATTTAAAATTCTTAGCATTTTTTATATATTCAAAATTCTTAGAATTTCGTTTCATCAATAACATGAACATAGTATCTTGTATAAACTATCAAACTTGCTTAAAAATTAACTTAAAAGGACTAAAATTCTTAGCATTTCTTTTTTTGATATTCAAAATTCTTAGTATTTCATTTCATTAATAACATGAACGTAGTATGAACCATCTAAACTAGTACTCCTACAATAATATTTTTTGTTTTAACGTTTTTTTTCCTCAAAGAACTTAGATTTGTCTAACTTATTCTCTATGAGTATTGGTTAAAGTACAATAAATATATTTTTTTACAATTAATTTTTATAAAAGTAATGAAAATTAATTTTTGTTTTAGTGTCATTGTCACAAAAATAATTTTAATTGATTAATTAATTAAATTTAAATCAATTTTTATCAATTTATATATATATATTAATTATAAAATATTATATTAGGGTTCTATCATATATATTAATTATAAAATATTATATTAGGGTTCGTGATAGAAAATCCAACTTTGATTGTGAAATAGAGTATATGAAGAAAATGTGGTTAGTACTCAATTACCTCGAGAGGATGCAACGGTGCGCCGCCTTCTTTTACTGGGTATGTTTCATAAGTCAGTTCGACGGTATGCGAGGGTAAGCAACCTTGGATGGTATGCAACGGTGGGCCACCTTCTTTTACTTGTTTCAATACCCACCGCCCAGTTCGATGGCATGAGAGGGTGGGCCACCTTCTTTAGCTGGCCCACTGCTGCATACCGTCGAAGGTGGCCCACCTTCTCATGCCATCGAATTAATTGATACTAATCACTTGAGCTGAGCATTATGTATAGGTATAAATATTTTATTTATTTGAATAAATATTATACTTCAATTATTAAAAAATAGATAAATAATAGGTATAAAAATAATATATTACTAAATATCAAATTAAATTAAAATATAAAAGTATAGAATTATTTACTTGATCTGTTTAATTAACTTGTTTAATTGATATATTACTTATGTTTATATAATTAAAATTTTACATTCTTTATTATATATAATATCCATATAATAACAATAATTTTTAAAAATAAAAATAATAAAAATATAAAAAATAAAAATAAAAGTTAAGTATAGCGTAAAAGTCAAATAATTAAATCACATTCAGCAATAACAACTCATATAAATAATAAAATCATAAACTAAACACATAATACATATAATAATATCTTATGTTAAACTTTTTTTTTTCTAAGTCAAGTACATAAATATATACGTGCAAGTTATTTGATACCTATTAGATTAAGATTCAAGTATAAGTATTTGAGTATTTAGGTAAGTATTAAACCTAAAAGGTTGCATTCGAAAAATTGAGTTAAATATCAAATACAACTCATATTTAACCTATACAAAAAATGCTCCTCCTTACTAATTACATTCTCTTTAAAGAATAGATAATTTTTTTTTATATTAACCTCTCAATATTCGGTAATCACATTGGATCTTAATTAATCCAGAATCGAGTTGCGTCAGACTTCATTAGAGAGGAAGTTCTCCCAGCATTTATTTCTCCATTCATAATACTCAAACTCAAGATTTTATTTAACGGAAACTGAACTTTTTTCATTCGAATTAACAGGTCATTGCTTAAAAGAATAGAGAATAGTATAAAGTAACTTGTTTTCTCAAAAAAAAAATTTAGAGGATCTATTTAAAAATTTATTTATTAATTAATATTTTTAAAAATTATTTGTTAGATTAAAAATTTTATTTATATATATCTTATATGTCAAATTTTATATTAATATAATATTTATAATTATTTAATGAAAAACTTTATTTACTAATATATATTTAATGATATTAAATATTCTATAATTAATAAAGTAGTTAAACCTATAAGAATAATTTAAAAATTAGTATATAATTTATATGAATAGAATTTTAATTTAATAATTAATTTTTTTTAAAAATAATTAAAAAAATAATTTTTTTTGACAAATCTTCAAAAAAAAAAAAAAACGTAATGTAAAACATTTTCCCCTATATATAAGGGAAAAATGTAAATATGAGTATTCTCGAACAGCAGAAAATGTGCGTATCCTCCAAAGAAAAAGGAAAAAAACAAAGTTAAAACAAAAAATATTCTTCTAGGAGCACTAGTTTAGATAGTTCATACCAGATATTAATGAATTGAAATGTTAAGAATTTCTCCTATTTTCAAAAAAAAAAAAAAGGGAAATGTTAAAAATTTCGGAAATCAAAAAAGAAATGCTAAGAATTTTAGTCATTTTAAATTGATTTTTAAATAAGTTTTGAAAAAAATTGCACATTAAAATTTTTTTTAAACTTATTTAAAAACGCATTTAAAAACCCATTTTAAAAAATTTTCTCTAAAATTTTTTCAATAAAAAAGGATGCCAATAAAAAGAACCTGAATAAGAAAGGGGCGACAATTAGACTTGACAAAAATTTATCCGACTTGTTAACTCGATTCTAACCTAACTCATAAAAACGGGTTATGGTTTATATATCCAAACCCGCAATCCGTAGATAATCCGTATTATCAATCCATACGGGTCATGGGTTGGGTTGGGTTGGGTTAGGGTCAACCCATGAGTTGACAGATTGACCAATTTGTTTTATTTTTTATTATTATTTTTAAATACTATACTTATTATTTTTAATTAATTTTCTTTTTGGTAACTCCTTTTATTAATTCATACTCCCTAATTTCTAGAGAAATACGAAGAAATTATGATGAATTTGATCTAATTATCCAAGTATCAATTTTTTTTTTTTTTGGTATTAACAATTATCCAAGTATCATGAATGAAATGATAATGCAACTAAAAATATTAAAAGATGTGATACTAAGACATAAACATAATAACTTAGTATAATAACTTAGTGAAAATTGTTCTTGGAAGAGCAATTTTATCATTAAAAAATGGCTTAAACTACTTGATAATGTTTCCGTATGATTATAAAATTAAAATTTTATTTTCCAAGAAATTTAAATGTTTTACGTTTAATATTGTTATTATTAATCAACTTATTATTATTTATAACTTTATAATTTTTTTTCTTAATTTAATTATTTGTGGTTGAGACTATAAAATACTTAGTTTTAATCAATCATAATACTTTAATTAGATTTAGATATATATAATTTTATTTGTATATAATAAAATTAATAAAAAAATAATTATAAAAAATGAAAATAAAGTGTAACCCATTAGAGTTGGATTAGAGTTGGACTTTTTCAACTCACAACTCGTTCATAACCCAACTTATATAACCCATCATCTAAATTGACCCAATCCAAACTCGACTCAATCCGCTCATTTGCCAGGTGTAGCGGCAATGAATATATTCAGGATCTTTCAATCGGCAAGCAAGGACGGAGCCAAACTTTTGATTGAGGGGGGTTGGGGGGATTTAAAATTTCTTTAAAGTTATAATAAGTTTATATCAATATAATTTATATAAAATTTTAAATATTATTTATGTAGTTTATTAATAGAATTATGTATACTCTTTCTCCCTCCCTTCTCTTCTCTTCCTTTTCTTTTTTTTGGATAAGTATCTAAACTAAAAGAAAAAATAAAGTAAAGGGAATTTTCCCCTCTCGCCTCCATTCTCCCTGTTAGTTATAGGTCATGAGTTTGATGCATAATTTTTATATACAAAAAAAATTATACCAATTTTTATGTTAATCACTACTTTATGAGTAAATGTACTATTTATAAAATATATGTCAAAGTTTAAATTAATTAAATATATTTAATTATTTTTGAATAACATAAGATTCAATACCCTTAAACAAATAATAAAAAATAATAAGAAAAATGTTAATAAGTTTGATTGAGAAAAAAATTATGAAAAAGATATTTCAAAACTATATTAGTTAAATAAACTTTAATTAAAATAAATAGACTGAATTGGCATATTTTTAGGGTAAGAATGAAAGATATATTAGTATTTTTTTGTGATACTTTTTAAGAACATCCTAATTTTGAAATATTTTTCACCTTTTTTTTTTGCAAGTCTAGTAAATAAATACTAATCTCATATAAAATATAATTTCTTTTTTGATATAATTACAAATATTAATGAACTTTCAATTCAAATATCAAATCCAATTGTTAAATTGATAAAATATAAATTGTATAAAAAATTACAACTAATATAAAATCTTTTTTATATCCAAATAAAATTATCTATTTTAAGAATTGATTATAAAGAAAGAAATGGTTCCTTTACCTAACTCCTAAATATTTTCTTTAAATTCAAAAAAGTTCTTGTAATTCAAACATCAAAAACAAATTTTATACTAATTAAAAACTGATGTACTAGATGAAACATTTTTCAAAAGCTTAGGGGGGTGGCTGCCCCCCCTTGTCCTATGGTAGTTCCGTCCCTATCGGCAAGATCTCCTTTTTGTTACCCTCATGTATGGGGGCGGAGCCATGAATTTTAATCAAGGCGGACTGGTTTTTTAAGCTTTAAAATAATATATTATAATTTTGAAAACTTACTTTTATATCATAAATTAAAATAATATTTGACGAGTCTTCATGTCACGAAATCTATCTATAATAGAATCTACACTAAATGACTGAATTATTTCCTTTTCAATATAAATAATTAAAGAGTTTGAAAGGATTTCATCATCCATTTTGCTGTGAAGCCTTATCTTCACAATTTTTATGGTAGAAAATGCTCTTTCTGTTATTGTTGTTGTTGTAGAAATTGAAAGAGTAAGCACCAAAATAATCAACTTGTAAATAAAGACTATAGACCTCTGATTTTCTTGTCTTTACAAGCCATTGACATAATTCAGAAATATTTGATAAATTCTGAAAACTCTGATCACAACTCATTTCAATCTCATTATGTCAAAACTCTAATCTCAAATGAAGTTTCTCCATACATACATGGAGAAACTCACAATACATCATAATTCATACATGCAGTTGCTATATATAATTTCTCTTGTATTCTCTGCCTTCTGATTTGATATGCTCTTGAAATTAATCACCTCATTTAGCTTGCTTTCTTATGTTTCCTTTCCCCCACTTTGTTATATTTGGCTATTTTTCCCCTAGATGCTTTCTTTCTTGATAGATTGGAATGCTTAAGCACTTTGTTATTCATCAAATTTTCTTTCTTTAGCCCTTGTCTTGTAATTGTTTTATGTATAAATTGAATAACTAAGAATAAATATTTACTTCAATCTGTAATATCTCAAAATTTTGTGATATTTTAGCATTTAAGTAAGGGTTTTTATGAGA